TGACACATGACTGCATGCGCGGGTGAAAACACAGGGGGTGAGTCTTTATATATATATATATATATACAGTAGTCGTGAAATATGTGAAATGGGATGTCGGATGTCACGCAAATTTGCGCCGTCCATTGAACTGTAATTAAGGAAAGCAGCATCGTTTGGTGCAAGAATTGTGGAGAGAAGCTCGGCAAAGAGACGGATGGTTAGCAAAAATGCAAGCATGCAAAGGCAAAGCCAAAACCGTGCTTCTTTTCCAAGCAGCTTGCGTTGGTGTAGTGAGGACGGCGGGAACTTGGATTTGGACATGTTTGCTTTGTCCGATGGGCTGCATTTTGCAAGATCAGCAGCGAGCTTCCGAGACCTTCAGCAGCTTGGTTTGTCCAACGCGTGCTGAAGGCACTCTCACAACTCAGAAGCCTTAAAGTCAGATGAGCCATGCCATAAATCCACTTGGTTGTGAAGAGTAAGGGCATAAGAGCTGGGTGCGTAAGGAAAACACTGCAGCCGCGTAAGCTTTTATGTGTCTGTTGTTTTGCAGTTTGCATTTGATGTGAGAACAGCTTTGGTTGAGGCGGTTTGTTGTGGTTACTGTAGCTTTTCTTGGGCGAAGACCGAGCCGCTAAGAGAAGAGATGCTCACCCTATATAGTCAATGTAGCCTGCTTTCATTGGTACATATTCCTAGAAACTGGAACCTGAAAAATCGAGGAGAGTCACGGCACTTTCCGCGTTAGGCGCGCGTAAGCTCCGCGTAGGCAGCGCGTAAGTCTCATGTCCGCCCGTGAGTAGCCCACATCGCTCCCAAACCCAAAGCCTTTTGCCAACTGCAGTGGCCCGAAAAGATGCACTTCAGAAGAGCTTCCGCTTCCGCTCTGCTCATATATGCCAAAACCAAGCAGGTCCATAGAGGAGAAGCTCTTGGACTCTTGGCAGTGTCCATGGGGCTTGGTCTTGCATTGTTGTGTCTAGTCTAGTCTGTGGCACACCGTGTGGCCAAATGACGTTTGTGATGTCGCTGTGCCATGCGGTTTTGCGCGGCCTTGGTGGAAAGTGTTTGCGTAAGTCAATGCCACTGGGGGAAGGAAAGCAGGCTTCCGCAAGTAGTAACTCTTGAAGCGCCATCGTTGTACGAAGCACGTCGTGTAAACATCTGCCATGAATGCAGCCTTATGAGCTGACGATCCTTTTCTCTTATACGAAATGCAAACTCCAAGAGATATTTCATAAACGTAACGGCTTGTATTTTGGCAAAACATTTTGGAAAACTACCTAAGATCGGGGGCATCGATTTACTCAGGTCATTTAACAAACTTCAGCACCTTGGAGAGTGAGTGACAGTAATAGATTGCAGGTCAACCCATAATATCATGCTATAGGAATTGAGCTGGCGAGGTGTCGGAGGCTTGTCAAAACACGCCTCTCTGATTTTATAAAGATCACGTTCTGGACTGGAGCTTGAGTTGGTACTTTGATTTGATTTCTTGAAGCCAACACTGTAACTTTCATTTTCTAAAGGCTATGGATGTGGCATGATACAGGCATTCCCGATGCACAATTCTCATTTCATATATGTTGTCTCAATTTGTTTCATATATAATTCTCATTTCTCATTTCGGTCTTAAACTATCATGACCTATGCTGGTCATTATATAAACTAGTTTGTTTTTCATTATATTTTCATTGAAACAACAAAAGCCTCACATTTTATAAACACAAATGATTTATAACATGAAAAGTCGGCCCGCCTATGAAAAATCAAGGGGGATGCGTAAACATGTTCCCAGCGGATTCGCCAAACGTCTGCGAAGTCTGGCTGCGTAAGGGTGGCGTAAACACCCACTTCCCCCCACATGCCGCGTAAGAAAACTTGTGTGCGCAAGAGAAACTTTATGTGTTTGGTAAGCACCCTCTGACGACGTAGGAACCTATCAAGCTTTCCAGCATAGGTCAGATTATGCGTTTGTTCATTTTTTGGCTTCCGCTCAGGCAGAAGCCCGGAGTACCTACGCTCAAGAAGTCAGCGCTAGCCCCCATGAAGCTGCATACCGTGGTGGTGACTTCAACCTCCCGTTTCATCCCTTCCGCTTTGCCAATCCAGGCAAACCATGCAGCTTAAAAAATGCGAAGGAGTTTTGCATAGTTTTGCTTTACAAAGCAACTGGCCCGCTTGACTGGTGTATGTGAAGACACCTGTGACCTGGGAAGGTGCAAGTTCCCATCAGAGTGCTTACAATTTCATGGGTCACCACGAGGAGACTCACGCCATGCCTCTTCCTTCGTTGCTCGGCTTTGAACATTTGCACTCGGCTTTTTGCAGCCAAGAGTTGCCAAATTGCAAGGACTTTTATCACGACTGTTCAATGGCACAGGGGTTTCAGTTGTTTTGTTTTTTCTCCATGCGTTACTTTTCCTGTTGTTTGTCCCCTACTTCTGCAAATTTTGCCGGTTCCTGCGGAACTGTTTAGTTTTTCCCCACCTGTCAGGTGAGGGTTGTTAGATTTTATCAGTGTTCCCCGCCGGACCTCAACCACGACCATCCACGACCAGTGTTCCCTGCCGGACCTCAACCGCGACCATCCGCACCCAGTTTTCCCTGCCGGACCTCAACCACGACCATCCGCGCCCAGTGTTCCCTGCCAGACCTCAACCACGACCATCCGCGCCCAGTGTTCCCTGCCGGACCTCAACCACGACCATCCGCGCCCACTTTTCCCTGCCGGACCTCAACCACGACCATCCACGCCCAGTGTTCCCTGCCGGACCTCGAGCACAGTGCGCAACCACAAACACAACACCACAAACACAACCACACACAATCACAACACAACCACAACACACAACCGGAGGACCCAAGCAAAATAGAGAACCACAAAACTCACCATCGTGTGGGAGCAATCAGTTCGATGATATGCCAGAGTGACTGGGGTCGGATGCATTTCCATATCTGTTGGCGCATCTGTTTGCAAAGAGACTTGAGACAGGCAACATCCTACACCAAGTATAGTACATATTGTTATTCCTACTACTACTACTGCTGCTGCTGCTGCTTCTACAACTACTACTACTACGACAACAACAACAACAACAACTCCTACTGCTACGGCTACTGCTACTGCTACTGCTGATACTACTACTACTACTACTACTACTACTACTACTACTACGAAAACTACTACTACTACTACTACTACTACTTCTACTACTACTACTACTCCTACTCCTACTCCTACTCCTTCTCCTACTACTACTACTTCTACTACTACTACTACTACT